ACAAAGTGTATTGCTGATAAAAGTAAAAGGCTCATCTACAACCTTCCAGATCAGAGGTGCTTCCACCTACCAGTTCTGCCTGTGACAGGTACAGTTGCTGCCCATTGCAGGGCTGCCTGACCCTGTGCCGTGGAGTGCTTGGTACCAGCATCGTCTGGGCCTTTCTCCACCTTCTCTGGGCAGGGACCACGTCACATCCCAGCACTATGAGGGGAATGTTCCAGTATGGCTGCTGTATGTTTGTCATGGGGAAGGTCCCATGACACAACCTGATTCCCTGGGATATTTCATACCTAGAAGAGGGTTGTGTCTGTTCCTTTGCAATGCACCAGTGCTCTGCAGTTTTTGGTTCCAGCAATCCATAATGCCTATTCTGAGCCTGTTAATGGCTGGAAAATACAAGGTTTTGAACGAGTACAATTTTGAGGTATTGGTGTGACATAGCTGCTCAAAATTAAACCCAAAAAAACTAAACAAGCCCATATTTTGGTATATAAATGCAAACTTTTCAGTGTTGGTGCTTGTAAATTCTTCCTTCTGTAGTACAGCTCCAAAAGAATATACCTTTTGTTGCCAAAGGGAATGTGGTGGTTTAAAATGCGAACAATGATGTCAATGATAATTACTGTCGGATGGGTAGTGTTAGCTTATTTGGTCACACATACTCAAACCTTACTTTTCTGTCATGGTTTGCTCTTTTACATCAAGTAGGTGTTGAAGGACTTGAAGCTCTTAACTTGGAGGCAAAACTTGCAGAATAGGGCATTTTAGCCACACAGGGCCTATCTGTAGCTCTCAAAGCCTGACTTGCAGGCAGAGCATGTGGTGGGCCCCCACAGCTCCTAGATGTGGGATCTGCAAAGGAGTTGTGGGATCCTTGAGGGATAACCACCCGTTCCAGCTTGAGAACTGCTCATGACCCGAGCTCTCAGAGGTGTCTTTTGTGTCTTACTTATGTGAAGATTTGGTATAAGTACACGGCCAGGAAGGCTGGTTGCTTACATGCTTGGTAGAAGTACCTTTTTTGTTCGTTCTAGGATGTGGACTTTTGTAGAGCTTCCCACTTTCAAAGCAGAGTGCTGGAAATGGTTCAGACATTGATGTGCCTTCACCCTCGTTATCCAAAATGACCCTAGGCTGGGCTGTTTGAATCTCAAGAGGTAGCAAAAACAGCTGGTTGCCAGGAAAAATACTCTTAAGCCTGTATCCAGGCTACATAACTGCCAGTAACACAAACATGAATGACAAGTTCTGTAATTTATTCCATTCCTGACTTGGTCATTTATGTGATCAAGAAACTGCTGTATCCTCTGAGCCCCTACCTTGGACGTTGTCTGTTTCCATCCAGTTGTAGTGGAGCATACCTCACTTTTTCAGGTGTCTTTGCTGTGGGCACACAGCCCTCTGGACTTGCTTGTCGGTGTTTCAGAACTGCCTAATCTTCCTCAGAACAAGAAACATCCCAGTCTCCTTCTTTATGCTGAGAATTTTTCTGTAGCATGTGATAGCAGAGGGACACCACCCCAGTACTGCCTGTGGCAAGGCTTTTATCCCCAGCCTCTCATTCCTTCCTACAGCTTCCATGTTTATGGTGGTGGGAAAGTTTGGGCTAAAACTCAACCAAATTTCTTGTGCACCTACAACAGATTCTTCTGACCTAAGAAAAAACAGCTGCCCAGTAATCTACATGATCTTGGCATAAGCTCCTAAATTGTGCTGGAAACAGCTTTAAATTTGTATGAAGGTCTTCCTTGGGTCTCTGACAGCAAAACAAGAATGAACCCTATTGCCAGACTTACCTGGATAAGTGAACAATGCCAAAATAGCTCAATCTTGTATGCTTCTGTCCTGGTTCTGCTCCTTCTATTTCTGGTACTGATTTCTCAAGTAGAATCTTGTAAAGGATAAACAAGAAGGTTGCTTGATATTCTAGCCCAAAGCATGTGCATAGCTGTCTTTAAATACTGAGGGTGGTCCTTACTGGATTATTCAAGTGGACTTTGGTATTTCACTGTGTTTTGGGTCTTGCAAACATTCCTGTTTTCCTGGGGAGACCCCCATACCTGGAGCTTCATTTCTCTCCCATAAAAGCTGAATGAACTGCTAGTCAGTCTGACTAGTTCATATGGTTGCTTAACCATACGAGCAACTTACTTAAGGCTGGCAGTCTCTATGGCTGGCTCTTTCTGAATATATTTTTTAGTAGGAGGTGATAACAAGTCTGTTTGGATTTCTTGGTCTGCAGAACTATGAATGGACAAGCAGGAGGTTGAGGCACAAAGTCAGCACCAGTAAAAAGCAACAGGGCTAAGAGCAGCAGAAAGCAAGAAACACTAAAAAATATAGTAAGGCAACATTATTTGATTTTTGTGTTTTTAATCTCAGTCTCTGGCAGTCCTTGGTATATTCTGATCTCCTGTGCCCTTGTCAAATTGCTCTACCTCCAAATACAAAATACATGGATTGTGAAGTGGGTCTTCGGAAACACTAACTGAAATCAGCAGTGTTTCCAAGGGCCTGCAGTATGGTCCAGCTGCTGAGCTGAGGGGGGAAAATTTGAGTTGTTTTACAAACAGAGTGGGCTGGAAGTAATAAGGTTCAAGGATGACTTTTTGAGAATTAGAATAAAGAATGAATATGCAAACCAAGGGGGAGGGTGAACATAAAACCTCCTATGTGTTGTTTGTACATTACTTTGGTAATGGACAAAGTTACTATAAAAGCTTTGGGAAATCCCATGTGGAGCCTGCAGCATGAAAATGAAAGTGTTTTGGTAGTTGCCTTGCTTGCACATCCATTATGTGGTTGTGGCCTAGTGTGCTAGGACACAGCTCAATCGCCACTGCAGCGTTCGGGTTTTCATCAGTGGATGCTGTGTCCGTAGCCTGAGCTGGTGATGAGTAGGAGCGAGATGACTCATCTCTCCTTCCTGACCAGGGGAGAGAACAGGGCGAGTCCTTTCCATAGCTGAGCTCTCTGCTCTCCAGATGATTTGCTGTGAGGAGAGGCGTGGTTTTCAGCCTTAGACCACTGCCGCTGCAGAAAGCATCTAAGTGCTTAATGTACAACTGCAGCACACCTACTTAATACCAGTTAATACTGTTAAGTATTAAAAGGGGATCTTTCCCCACACAAGGTCAAAACCAAATATTCCTATTAAAGGGTTGCCCTTTCTTCTGCAATTTCAGCTTTTCTTTCAGCTGCAATTTCCTGTAACTTGCAGATGAGAGTGCATGCATAAAAATCACTCATTTTGATTAGTATTATGTCAGGTCTTAATACATCACTGGCTTCTGGGTGCTCATTCCTTCTGTTATTTTCTTATGAATGATGCATTTTATTGCTTTATTTGCTCTGCAGGCATGCAGTGAGTATTGCCTACCCCCAGGACAGGGTGCTTTTAAGATGTTAGCCTGGGGTCAAGCTGTGTACAGAGTGATGGGGGGCAAATGGGGAACCTGCGGCAAAGGTAAGGTTTTCCCTGGGGAAAACCAGGTGCAGGCGTGGCCATTCCAGTGTGCAAACTCGTCCATTGTGGTCAGTGGTGGAAGAGCCCATGTGACGTTGGGGCCAGTGCATTGTTATTGTTTTCCTCTGATGTATCTTAGCTGAAGGAGAAGCATGCAAAGTGAGTTTCAAGCTCTTCGCGTGCTCTGGGGCTGTGAACGTAAGCTGGGGCATTGACAGCAGCAGAGCTGCTGTATCTGTGGCTCTCCCATTCAGCTCAGGCCTCCCGTGGCTTATTTTTGCATCAGTAAATTAAGTGTGAAAGCAGCGTATAGCAAGCTCGGAACGGCTAAAAATAAGGTCCATTATCTACAGAGAAGGGCAGCATTCCCTTTGCGATCCCGGCTGCCGTTCGAGCAAGCGGAGATCGATCAGTGTAATGTCTGGGGCTCGTCTTTCATAAAAGAAGGGCTGTGGCTTTAAGTAAGCGCTGGCTGCCTGTGCCAATTGCAGAAGCTGCAGTATCTGCCGCTGCCGGAGCCATCGGCACGGAAGCGGGGTAACCTGCGGAGGGGCAAGGGCCAGCCTCGCCGTTCGGCCGCAGCCGGAGCCGTCACCTGCGCGTCGCCTATGAGGGGTTGGGGAGCCGAGCGGGGTCTGCCGGCGCTGGAAGATGGGCTGCTCCAGCAGCAGACTGTGCCTCTATTCCCAGTGTGCTGCAGCAAGGGTAACCGGGGTTTGTTTCGCGCTGCTTTGCCCAGGGCAGGGAGCTGGACGGGAGCGTGGACTGAGCGAGCAAGGTGAACGCGCCCTGGCAGCGGGAAGCCCGGCCCCTGTCACCTCCGCGCCGTGGGTGCGAGGTGCTGGTCGCCGAGTCACGGAGCAGCTCTGCTGTGGCTGCGCCTGAGCTGCTCCCTGGGGTGAGGGTCTGGGGACAGAGGAGCCTGGCGGCCGCCGTCCCCTGGCTGAGGACAGCCCTAGGCAGGGCAGGGGGATGGGTGCTTCTGCGTGTTTTAGCACGGATTTGCAGTGATTCTGTCAGTATAAAACCCATCATCTATCTTAACATTAAGAACTGCCAGCAGTGGGGTGGGCTGTGTTCAACTTTGCACAGGGCTGTGCCTTTTCTTCATGGAAGACTGAGCATTTAGCAAAGTTCTGGGGTTTGTGTTTGAGTAAGCGTAAGGTAAATATTTAATGCATGCCTCTTTGACATATACCATACTTTTGTGCCCTTGACAGCTATCAGTTGATTTGTTCTGGAGGCTTATATTGCTACACCCATCATAAAATATATAATTAATTGCTGCAAAGTGATCACAGCGTTATCCTGGAAAAAAACTATTCTTTGTTTTAAAGTGTAACTTCCTTAACAACAGGAGAACATCTGTGTATTTTGTAACAGCAGAGCTGTTATCCTAAATGATTCATTTCTTGGCTTCTCGCTTCTCTTGTTTTCCTGCAGAAGACATGTAAGTTAATTATCGGAAGGTGCCCTGCTCAGATCACTAGTAACCAAATGTTTGGGTTTGTGTTGGTTTTTTTCTCTGCAGAGGGAGGAAGCACTGAAGCAGCGCAAAGAGTTATCTCAGGAACTGGTTAACCTTCGAGGAGAACTAGGTAAGAGTTTATTTTTGTACCCTACATGAGAACAGAAATGCAGCAAAACAGAGCTGCAGCGAGACAGATGCCCTGGTATTGTAATGGCAGTCATTTAATTCCCTGCCTGAATTCTTCTCAGATGCATTTCTCTGGGGCCTGACAGTGTGACCCCAGGTTCACCGGATTCCTGGCACTGATCTGACTGCGCCTAGCAGGGCCTCCTTGAAAAACATGTGTCTGATGACCAAAGCTCTCACTTCCTTAAGAATGGGAGGATGGCTGACAGTACACACACTTCTGTTAATCCCTAATTTATTTGTGTGCTGTCTTCTAGAGAACTGTTGGCAAAGATCCATAAACCTGTAAAATATGCTGTGCAGAATCTACTTTTTGCCTTAATGGCTTGTAGGTGAATGAATGTAAAATTAACAGAAGGAAATGCTATGAGGCTAATGAGATTCAATCTTTGAACTCATCCTAGTGGACAGCTATAATGTGAAATTAAGCTATTATGTGCAGGGGCTGGTTGTGCTAACTTTGAAGCTTGATTTAACACCGTTTAATGGTAACTTCATGTAAGTTGTTTGATCTCAAAGCAGAATCATCTTGTGGAGTGCAAAAAGTCATTGGGCTGAAAATGATAGCACTTGGAAGTGAAGCTGGCATTTTATAAAAGCACACTGATGGTGAAGCCCCTTTAAAAAAAGAGAGAAAGAAAAGAAAGCTTTGAAAGCAGAAGCGACAACACATGTGGAGCAGTTTCAGATACGTCACTTGTTGCTGAAAAGTTGGAAATGTTTATTTTCACATGCTTTGGACGCTGAGTATTGTGTCAGTCAAACTTGAACGTGGATTTAGGTCTTGTTACATGCAGGTGGTGTATTTAATGCTCAGATTCATTTTTTTTAGCCCTGATTAAGACAGGCATTCCCTGGCAGAGTTGGAAGTGTGGTAGGGAGGGAGAGGTCTTCCCTTCCCCACGGCTAAAGCAATTACAGCTTCTCCACTTGTCACTATTACTGTCATCCAGTTTAGAGGGCTATGTTAAAATGCAGCTTTGGGGGAGCTTTATTTGGTGCTGCATAAAATTGCAAATGTGTAAATAGGGAGTATGACAAGCAGAGAAAGCTTATAGCCTGAGTAGGTAGATGAGTACCAAAGATACTGGAGAAATGTGTAGCATTATCTTTCTTGGAAGCATAGTACTAAAAGGCTGAGGGTTTTCTAGAGGTTGGTGCAGTCTGGCATCTGCCAAGATGCAGCTCCTAACCTTCCTACTGATGAAGCACCTGGCTTACTGCTCTGCAGTAGTTTCAGGCAGGCTTTGGTAGGGGTGGCTTTGAAAGAGCCTGGCTGCCTTCTGCCACTTCATTGCTCTGCCCTGCCCTGTGCAAGCAGTGCTGCCTGGGCAGCTGTGTGCCCAGCTGTGCTTTGAGCTGCCTGGGGAGCCAGCTGAGAACTGGTGGCTTGAAGTGCTGTTTTGCCAAAGCTGCCTTGGCGTGGCACAGAGTGAGGCTAGAGGAGCACTGGTGTTGGAGCAGGTGAAGGGGGAGAAGCAGCAGGGTGGACGGTTGTGTCCCCGTCATCTGCAGCCAGCCTTCCTTCCACCCTGAAGTAATGACAGAACTAGAGTCTTAGTGTGGAAACGGGCTTCTTGCATTCATACAAACTTGTGCTATAAACATTATAAGCTAGATTTATTTTTTTATGTACATGACTTTCTGGGTAAACCCATTTATTTACCTTCTAATGAAAATGACTTCACAGGGGTTGCTATATAGCAAGAAGCTCTTTATTCTTTCATGTGCATCTTCAGTATGATTTTTCCTTTATCTGTCTAGGTACTATGTTCAGTATTCACCAGGAAAGGGAAAATTCAGCATAGATGGGCAGACCAGATAAGGTTTGGGGTTTTTTGTTTGTTTGTTTTGAAAGCTTAGTTCTTTCCAAGGGTGCCTCACTCTTAAATGAGCTTCCTTCAAACTTGTTACATTCGAGCTTTGATTAACAGCCTGCAGAACTCTTATGTGGGACTCCTGACAGAAGAATATGCCGTTCAGTAGGCAGATAACTAGAAAAGAAACCCTGTCTAATGCAACAGAGCTTGATGGATGTGTGATGCCCGAGTGCACAGAGCTGTCATCCAGGGATGCTGGCTGTTGTGCTGCTGGACGAGGTCATCAGCCGTTCCCCTCACAGAGCGCATCTTATTGGGTAAGCTCCGCAGGAGCATTGGAATGGCAGCCTCAGGCTCACTTCCTTTGTGAGCTTTCCAGACCATGGTTTCAGCATTTATCTTCGTGCAGCTCCTTTGTCTTAACCACGTCACATGCCTGGCCTGTCTGTACTTCTCCCCTCAGCTTGTAAAGGGGATTTAATCAGAAAATAAACTACATAGGTCTTCAGTTCTGTCTGCCTTTAAAAATATTTGTTTTGGGGTTTTTCAGGTTAAGCAACAAAACAAATCCAGCCAGGCCCCATTCATTGACAAGGTGTGAGAAAAGCATTTTGTAATGATAGCTTTAGCTAAAAATAATCTGTTTAAATACACACCTGCTAATCAGCTTTCTCTTGTCACTGTTAAATGGATATAGCGGAATGTAAGGTTTCTGTGGGATAATTTGATGGAAGTACTGTAAATTTTGATTTGCAGTATGATCTAGGCATAGATTGGCTCAGAGAGTACATTTAAAACCTTACTTTGGCTGTGTGGACACTCACACATGTTCCATGGAGCCTTGGCTGCTGTGTTGTCAGTGTCTGCTGGTTTGCAGCTTGGGAACAGGCAGTCTAGAAAGAGGAACCAGGTGCACCCAGCCCAGTGTAGAATGTTTATTGTGTGTCGCTGAGTAAGAGGATCATGCAGTCACCTGCAGGTTGCACCCGGCATGGTTTGGAGTCCTCTATTTCCAAAGCTCCTTGATTTACCTTGCAAAACCAAAGCTGCTTGCTGTCAGGTTGTCCGTTTTGCTTGGTTATTCTGAATGACCCTTTCTACCAAAATACCTTTTCATATAATGATTTAAATAGGTATTACAATCCTAGAATCTGCCTTTTGCAGTGACCGTGTGGCTGTGCAGAGTGCGGGGTGGATGGTTACCAGGCACTGCTTTCTGCTCCCAGTAGCTAGAAGTGTGTGAGGATTAGCAACAGTAATGGTTTGGGGATGGGCTTTTCCAAAGGAGTTCAAATTCATTAGCAGGCAGGTTGTGAATTTGGGTTTCCTTAACATCTCCAGCCACAGAGACCGTACTTTGCCGTTTGAATGGAAACACCTTAGTTCTGAGAGCCTGGAGTAGGTACAGATGTCCTGTTTGTCACCTTTGTAATTAAGATGCAGGCTAGTGTGTAAATCATTTGTGGTTACTTGTTTAATTGCGTAAGTAGAAATTGTAAGAGCTGCGTGTTTCTGGGCAGGTACAGAACGACTCCTCTAAACTAATTGTGCTCCACATTGTCTGGGAGCCGCTTTGCAATTGTGCTGGACGTGATCCAGCTCAGTGCTGCTATGGAACTGCAGGTGTAAAGCTGGCTCAGCATGTGCCTGCCTTCGCCTGCTGAAAATTGCCACTTGTGAGCCTTTTCCAGTGGGCTGGAGAGGTTTATGTGTAGCCAGTGCAGCCAGCCAAATGCATGACCCCTCTCCCTCCCCTCCGTTTGCTGTTGCTGTTCATCAGCAATATTTTCTTCAAGATACCTTCGTGACTTTTTTTATTAATAAATGACCTTTAGAATGTGTTGGAGATTGGGTTAAAGGAGACTGTTGTGTTTTATGGACAGACAGAGTGGGTGTGATTTGGTTTTCAGGTTTTGGCGATCCCTAAAAACACCTAATAGTAGGTGGACATTTCTATTAATCATTTGAGGCAGGGCCTAACTTGCCGCAAGTCGTACACTTGCCTGCCTCCTGGCACTGTAGTGTCTGCAGCATTACAGGATAGGAGCTTACTTCCCAGTGAGTATGTGAATGTTTCACACAATTATTCAACCATTCCCGCTTCAGTGTAGCTTACAGCATGCTTTTCTGGTCTGCCTGCCTCTTTTCAACTTGACCAAGAACAAAGCCATGAACCGCGGCTTAACATCCTGGAGTATGTTATATTATAGAAGTAACACCAAGAGAAACTTGGTCATAAACTTGAAAGCCTCTTTTGGTAGAAGAATTTCCAATATTGAGAATCTGCCAGAAACATCAATTAATTGCTAGATAACACAAGAAAAAAAATACGGAGAAGGAAATGAGCCTTTGTGTCTGTAGTAGACTTAGTGATCAGTGGAACATACGACAACAGATCTTGCAGTGTGAAATAACAAAGAGCAATAAAGTAACACCGTGCTAAATACTTGATGTTTTCTGGTAATTACCCCTTTTCACATCCCCCACATCTATTAAAATGCTGTTAGTTTACTGTTCTAGTGACCTCTATTTCAAGATCTCAGACAGTCTAATGGCATTTCATAAATCATAACTAGAGCAGCGAGTGACCTAGACTGTTTTATGAAGATAGCTATTGTTTCAAAACAATTTAATTCAGGATTCAAGAAAAAAAAATCTATTATGGTCTATCCTCTTAGAGCTATGGTTATGATGACCTTTATGGAATTCAGGTTGAAAAATGTTTTTATGTAAGCAGTTTAGCCATAAGGACTGAATTAGATGATGAATGTTTAATAGTTAAAATAAGAAAAAACCCTAAATGTTGTGAGAAGGAGATACTGCACAGTTGTGAGGTCTTGTCTCTTGGCTGCTTCTAGTGAAAATATGAAATAGGTTTCTTGGGAATACCAAGGCAATTCTTGCAGTCCTCTCCTTGAGCTGGTGCTGCTGTTCACGCAGTTTGGATCTGCTGCCATTTGCACGATTGCAGGGAGTTGCCATGTGCCTGTTTCTCCACGCTTCTCCTTCGCAGACGTTTGGTTTTATGGCTTGGCACATACAGAGCTTTGCAATGAAATGCCCAAGATGCAGGTGGCCACCATCAGCTACTACAGATGAATGTTAATTTTGCACATCAAAACCAGTGTTTCTGATCTGACGATATGTTATTGCCAAATCTCAGAAACTTCCTGTGATTGCCAGAGGCCGTGGTTCAGCCTGAAAGATGCAGGCTCTTCATTTATAATAAGCAGGTGTTAGGAAGCTTAAAATTGCAAATTAATATTGCTCCCTGTTGTAATAACGTAGGGAGAGACAGTGTTGTCTGATTGGGAGGAGAGGCTGGGACAACCAAGTGGGGACAAATATTAATGGCTTTGCTATTTGAATAATGAAGTAAATCTTTGCTTCTGGCTGCTAAGTACTCCATTCCATGTGCGCCATCTTTAAAGCTTGAAACTGCTTAGGGTTACAGATGAGATTGAACGACCTAATGGATAAATGATGGCACATCTCTTCATCTTTATGGCTTGATTTTTCTCTCAAGTGCTGTTGGGATTTTTTGCTTAAGTTGTGTGGTCTGTTCTGATGCATGGCATAATGTAGATGTGCAGTTGCAGAGAGAAGCACTTTAAGAAAGGAAAGGAAGCACAGTAGTTGTGTACAAAAGCTCTGAAATGTGCCCTTCAGGTGTTTCTGAAGTGGATGAGAAGTTGAAGTAGAGATTTTGTGTGTTCGGATGGAAAAGAACATGTTCCAGTTACAGATTTTTGTTCAAGATGAAGCACCAGTTTAGTGAGAAACCTCTTGAGTAGCCGTAAGGGTTGGTTAGTCAGGAGTTTTGCAGCATCTCCTTACAGTGGATGAATTGCCAAACTAAGGAATTGTTTTTTTTCATGGCTTGTCCCTCTCTTAAGGCATTGTACAGTCATAAAACACACGATTCAGTCTGGAAGATCATGGAGCTGTGCAAAGCATTTGCTGCAGGCACCTGAATCTCAAGTACGGGGCAAACGTTGGTTTGCAGGACTTCTCATGATTTCAGATTGACAGTTCCTCAGTGGGTGCTTTTGTTAACGCTTCACATGTGCAGTTTCTCACACTACCACAACACCAGGGGCTCAGTGGTTGTGTGTAGGTTCTGCTCCTTGTGTGGATGGCAGGGAGTCAGGTCAGGTCTTGTGATGTGCAAGGAAGCTTTGGAGCCACCAGCTCTGTGGAGACCAGGCATTACCCTGCAGGTAACACAGCGTTCGACTCTCAATGCCAGCCTTAAGTTTTTGTTTGCCTTTCTAACGTTAGTGTTCTCCTAAATGCGAGCTGCAGGCTGGCCCAAGGAGAGCTGATGTGTCTGTTTTCTTTGACAAAGGTGTGGTTTGCTATTTGCTTTTTCATGAAGTGTTTTGCATCATCTGAAGTTCTGCGTGCTGCTGTTTGAAGATAAGGTGATAGGCAGCATATTCTTTTGGGTAAATGGAGTCAAAGGAATGGCTCTGGCTTTACAAATAAAGAATTGGATGCTTGCTTCTTCCGTTGTTGGTTTTAAAGTGGATCATTTGAAACATTTTGCTAGTTACCACAAATGAGGCATAGGAGTTGCCTGCTTCTCAGCTACACATACTCCTCTTACTCGGCTAGAGAGGGTCAGATGCATTCTGCATGTGGTTGGCTGTGTAATGCCTGTTTGGCTCGCTGCCTGGTTCCTTGCATTGTAAAATAATGTCCCTACCTATAACGTTTCCTCGTCCCCAAAACCTGACCATGTAGAGTAGTATGTTCAGTAACTTTAAGCCAATGCAATGTGATAGAAGCGTGCATGCTAATTTTTTTAGAGATTTGTGGAAGGAGTGAGAACAGGGCAATAAAACCCTTCCTTGGTGGTGGTACAGGAAATACAGGAAACTGTAATCTGCTTGGCTTGCACAGAATGTTGTGGTACATTTTAGCCCTTAGTTGCATTGTTGCCATTCATGGGGTGAGCAGCTTGGCTTAAATCTGTCCTGATCAGTAACTCTCTCACACAGACCTAGCGCAGAGCTAAGCCTGCTGTTAAAACTAATTTGGGTAGACACACAGAGATTGATTGCCATGCAGTCCAGCTCACGCTCTTACACTCTGTAGGTCAACTGCAGGTTCCAGGTGATGGCAGGAGGGCTGAGACTTTACAGTTTCCTTAAAAGAGAGTGCCAGTATCATTAATCGAGTTACTTGCACTTAATGAGCTGTAGCAAAGAAGTAATCCCACACGTGTGTAACTTAAGGCGCTCTGCAGGGGCAGGCTGCTTTCCCTAGAGCCTAGCCCCATACTGCTTCGAGAATCAGTCCTTGAAGACACTGATTTACATATGTTAAGGCTCAGACACAGCTGTGATGAGAACTCACTGTACTGCCTGTACAAAAATCTTCCCATGCTTTCACAATTTATATTTGGACTGTTCAGGCGGCGTGCCAGGCTGCTGTAAAGTGCAGGTACGTGTGGCTTGTCCCCTATTTGACCGAAGGCCAAGGTAGTGTTTTAGTTGATTTTTCTCTTAAGTAGACAAGCATCTGAGTAATTTATTTTCAACCCAAGTACTACAGTTTGCATAGAAGCAGTTTTGCATAAGCTCAGTGACCCTACGCTTGTGTTGGAGGTCCTGTTCCACCTTGCTTCCAGGCTTTGGGTGCAGCTGGAACTCCATGAGGCGCTTGCTGCAGTCATATTAACAGTAGGAAAAGGACTCTTCCTATTTGGGCATGTCTGTCTGGAGTCAGGAATGCTAAATTTCAAACTCAAAAGTTCAAGTTACTAACTTCTGTTTTGTCTTGTAATCAGCTGCAGATCTGGGGAGACAAACCAAGGCAGTCCTCTTAGCTGGCCTGTGTTAATATAAATGTAAAGAGAACTACATGGCATTTATTTCTCTTGATACTCTTGCACTTTCTGCCTGAAACTGTTCTGTATCTCAGGTATTTAAATATCCTGGGCACGCGCATGTGAGCACGTTTCAGATTGGCAGTTCTGTATTGGGCAGCCCAAGTCAGGCTAGAATTGCTTCTGTGCCACATGTCTGAGTGTAGCATGTTGAGTGGATGGTCTTCAGGACATTAAGACTTTCAAATCTAGCTAAGTGGTTTATATATCAAAAAGTGAAGTACTCTGATAAATACGCTTCTGAAATGGGATTGAATTAGGTGAAGTAGCAAATCCAATTAATTTTTTCATTGTAGCACTCCAGTGTCTCGTGAGACGCTCATTCCTCTTTGTCATGACAACCCATCACACTTGTGCTTTCTGTGTAGGTTTCTGGCTTAACTAGATTCAATTAATTCTCAGCATAAGAAACACTGAATTCAGTATTTTTGCAGAGATCTTTCTGTGTGTCCTTGGAGGAGGCACTCATTTCATGGATAAATTATGTTTGTCTACGTATAACCATGTTGCTGTGCAGTTCGTATCCTTAATACCTAACAAAGATGGTGAATTCAGCATTGAATTTTACTTAATTACTTTTTTCTGTTTTGACATCTTTAGTAACCACTTCTGCAGCTTGTGAGAAATTGGAGAGAGACAGGAATGAACTGCAGGTTGCTTATGAAGGGTTTTTGCAGAAGTTAAATGAGCAACATCACAATGATTTGGCTGAGCTGGAGGAGAGGCTTAAACAGTTTTACACTGCAGAGTGTGAGAAACTCCAAAGCATATGCATTGAAGAAGCTGAGAAGTACAAAGCGCAACTCCAAGAGCAGGTTTGTAACCTTCGAAGAAGTGTTCTCTAGCAATTGCTTTGCTAATGTGAAACTCCACTTTGTTGCAGTTATGCACTCATTACTGCACTAAGCTGTCCAGATCTTCAGCTTGTGTTTAAACATGGTAGAGATTCCTTGTGTCCTGCAAGCTTCAGTGGTTTGCAGACCTCCACTGGGTATTTGAGGCAGCTTGAGTTTTAAGATTTACAGAAACACACCTGGCCTGGACCTTGCTTTGCAACAACTCCATGTGTGTGACAGATGCATACATAAATCTGTTGGTAGTGGTTAAGTGTAAGGTATTGTTCTCATCTACTGAGTGTTGTATGTGGCATAGCTTCTCCTGTGATCATCTTTAAGTGCTTCCTAGACCATTTAAAATGTACTCTATGTACTGCATAAAGTCTTAAGGAACAGTACTTTAAATGAGGGTTGACACATGTAAGGGGAAATAATCATGTTGTCATGTTGCAGGTGGACTATTTAAATATCACACATGAAAACTTTAAGCAGGAACTTGAAAGGAGCCACTCGGAGAAGGTAGAGGAGCTGAAAAAGGAGTACGAGTCCTCTTTTTCAGGCAAGTATTTTGTGTTCAAATATAAATGCTGTAGTACTGCTAGTCACAAACAGAAACATTCAGGCTTTTTCATCCGTATGTCCACTTCATTATTCTTGGCAGTCAGCTATCTTTAAAAACCTTGGCTGAATTCCTTCATTTGGAAATCAGCAAGTCTCATTTTACATACAGAAATAATCGTGTCCTGTAGATGAATGGAACTTGGAAAATGGCTTAAGAGTGGCGATGACCTTTTCTTTCAGTAAAAAGTGTCTGAATCGCAGTCTGCTCTCAAGATCTCATGTTAATAAGTAATTGCTCCCACCCCCCAAGTTCTGTAAGGAGCATCTCGGAGCTGAAATTGAGGTTAAGTAGTATTGTGTGCTTTCCAGACTGACTGGGAATGTTGAGAAATACTACACACTATTTACAGTCTACAGGGACAAAGGCGGTTTATCAGGGAGGGTTTGGTGGGTGTGCTCAGTGTTAAATGGTATTGCATCTAATTGATGCTTTCCATCCTCCCTCCAACTCACCTGATAGCCAAGTTTCCAGTGATACTTCTGCATTATCAAAACTGATGATGCTTCCATTCCAGTCAAAGAGCAAACTCCTCTAGAGGTATGGCACCTCCAAAATGGGAAAGGAAATGTGTTTCTAGAAGCTTGCAAGAAGATAGTTTCAGCTTTCACTGTGTTTCCCTTCAGAAACTCAGCTCTTGTCAGATGTGGCTCCTGCTCAGTGCAGGCAGCTGAATGCTTTCGAAACTGACCCAGTCAGCTAATGAAATAGATATGCAAGGGGCAATCAACAAATGGGAAGCAGCAATAAATCTGATACTTTGTACATGCTTTGGATGAGTGGATGATAAATGTTCTTTCCGCACTGTCGCTGACTGCATCTGTGCTTATGTGTATTGGCTGGCTTTTCAACAAGAATCTTCATGTCTTACATGGTATTAAAAATCTGCAAAAATGAATTTGTTGCAGAACTCAAGAGTGCTCATGAATCTGAAAGGAAGTCGCTTGAAGATTCCTTTACGGAGAAGCAGGAATCGCTAGAGGTTTGTTAAGGGTTGGGGTCTTTGCAACGGTGTGAAAATGAAGATGCAGTTTGGAGATGTGCACTGAATTCTTGCCCTCACTATACCCTGTCTTTTCATTGCAGAAAAAAATCGATGAATTAAAATGTGAAAATGACTCTCTGAGTGAGAAGTTGAAATTAGAAGAGCAAAAACAAGTAGCCAAAGAAAAAGCCAATCTTGTAAGTCTTGATCTTCAGAAGTAATGCAGACGAGCAGATCTTGCCAGCCTGGGTTTATTTAATACATATGAAAGGTTTTGCAATCAAGACTGATGGGGCACCCATGCTTCATTTTATGCAGATGGCTTGCCTGCCAAAAGTTTTTCTCAAGCACTACAATGTTGGGTATGAACTTTACCATTATAAATCTGTGAAGCTGTTGGTCAGTGGTATAAGTTATAGCCCAGGTTAAATTGAAGACCTACATGCACAAAGAACCATAGCTGTATTCTGGACAGTTGACAAATGCTCTAACAGCGCTATGACCTGTGTGGGCTTATATCACTGTGACAAAACTCGCCTCCTGTACTTAAGTCTTTAATGCATTTATTCAATCATTGGTTCACTGCTGATTTATTCTTCTGGTAGACTTTCATTTTGTCCTGCTTTTCCTCCCAAGGCTGCCATGTTCTGTGATGCTCCTGGGTCAGCAGTGTGCTCTGAGGGAGGTTTCTCGTGCACTGGGAGAGTTACACACAAATGTGCTTCTCTTTCTAGTTACCTGGAAATAACTGGAATACCAGGACTATTGCGTGTCGCACCAAGAGAAATTCCACACAGAAAAACTCACTTAAAATGCTTCTAGTAGAAGTTGCCCTAGTTTGCTCTGGAATTTGTATTTTTCCTCCCTAACTGCTTATTTTAGCAGCAGGGTAGAACTGCTGCTGCAGGAATCTGCAACCACAGTATGTAGCTATAGTTAGGCAAGATGACACCAAAGAGACCCTGTTGTACACTACATTTGGGAGTTTGACCTCTACTCCCTACGCATGCTCAGGCGTTGTTTAATTAAAGGAGTAATAGTCAAGTGTTTACATAGCTGCAAATGTACAGTGAGACACATCATAAGCTTGATGCTTCTCTATGGAAAAACAGAGATTTGACCCAGTATGTTCTTCTCTACTAAACACAAACCCTGCACTACTGAATTCCCATTAGCCCTTTGAAGGCAGAGGTGTTGTTTCCAGCTCTCCAGTCTTATTCAGTGTCACTGGATATACCCAGCTTTTTTGCTAAAATCTTCATATGCCTTTCAGTCTTTTTATCAGGCTCTGTGTTCTTCTGTGAGTAGCTAATGTGGTGGCTCAAGTGCAACTTTAAAAGGCCATCTTAAGACCACTGGGGCAGAGAAAGGAAAGAAAAAAATGAGTTTTGAACATACTGTAAGCTGCACAAAAGGGAGGAACAAACTTCAAGTTGTCTGTTTCCTCCTCCAAGGCAGTGCAGCACAGCACACCCTGCCCTCCTCACCTGTGCTTTGGAAGCAGGAATTAGATAATTGCTAATGCTAGTCCTCAAAAACAGGCAGGGGAATGAAATGTGTAGGTGATGAGGCCTTGTTTACCAGTGAGAGCTGTTGGCTCTGTGCTTGAGGGACTGTGCCCCACAAAATCGCACGCACTGCCCTCCCAGTGTTGGGTTTCTGACACAGCAGTGAATCTGTTACTCAACACAGTACACCAATATTCTTACCTAAATATGCTGAAACAAGTTCTGTTTGTTTTTAAAGATAAACTCAGTTACACAACACACTTAATCACTGGTTGATTTCTCTTTATTCCACTACGTGGAAATGAATTGACACTTGCTGTAGTTCTCTTCATTTCCTAATTTTTGCCTGTGACTTTGCCTTTGCAATGTAGAGAATGTTGTTTACTCTGCAGTGTTTGAATGGGTCCTTACTCTGGAAAAGAGTCTGTGAGGAAACCAGATCTGACCCTGCTGTGTCCCCCCCTCCTCCCAAAAACCAGCAATAAAAAATAGGAAAAATAGAAAAGAAAGTCCTAGCTTCCCATATTGTGCATTACATGGACATACAGCAGGGCAAGATATTTACATGCAATTGCATTCTTGGGCTTTAAGAAGAGTGAAACCCCAAGAATATTCAATTTCTGCTTATGAACCAGCTACATTTGGACTCAAACCAGGGACAATCAGCTGCAGTTAAGTCCACAGCTCTCAGTTTCTGGTGCTTTTTGAACCATTCCCATATCTGGAAACTCTTCAAATATTTACTCGTAATTACTTCTTGGGATGGGTTATGAGTAATATGAAATAGATTTTGGAACTCCTAGCCTTAAAGGGAGCCTTGGGGCACTCCTGAAAAACAAGTTTTGGTGTGACAGCTTTAGTGCCTGGCTTTGACTCACAAGGGTTTCCATGTTTGTGCATGAAGTGTTTTGTGAACAGCGCATAAGGAGAACTCCAGCCATCCATCTACACCAAAGGACACATAAAATCAGAGGGGAAAGTGATCCCAGATCTTCTTTATTCTAAAGTTTTTGACGTGATTTTGCTTAGAACAAAACTGTTGTTACCGTATTTATTTTCTTGCCCTTTCTAAATAGCAGAGACACACTTGGATTGTTCTGAAATACAGGGAACTAAGCAAACTCTGTGTAAATCTTTCAGAAAAACCCACAGATTATGTACCTGGAACAGGAGCTGGAGAGCCTGAAGGCAGTGCTGGAGATCAAGAATGAGAAACTCCACCAGCAGGATATAAAACTAATGAAGATGGAGAAACTGGTGAGTTTTCCTTGGGGGACCATGTCTGTGTTGTGTTCTGATAATGAACTTGGGGTGGTCAGGTTTATGCACAAGGATTAATTCCTTTGTTTAAAAGGAAACATGAAACAATGATGGGACATGCTTACGTGGCATGTTGTACAACTACAACTACATCAGGCTGTAGGGTAAAGAGGGGGAAAGACTCACCAGATGCTGTAAATGACCTTTTAATCTCTTAAGGCAACTACTGGTTTGCATAAACTATTGCTAGGTTAGTCCAGGGTTATCTGAGAGCCTCTTCCACATGTCCTTTCCTTCTCCTCCATTCCCTAGGGAAAAAAAATCCTTACCTCCTATGTTTGCTTGAGTGGCATGGATAGATTGCACTGTCAGGAAAACATTAGCATGGAAATGATACAAGAAGAGGTCAAAATATGAAATGGAATGTTTTAATCTAGAGTTAATTAGATTAGGACAGTCATTTTAGCTGTTACCTGTAAGTTTGGCTGTGTGGATTTGCTCCTGATCTGTGCACAATTCCACATGAAAATTAATTTGGGGGCAGAACATGTAATTATTTGGCATGCTCTAGTCTGGCAGGACAGGATCCTTACCCTGGGCAGGGCATTTGAATGCTGCTGTAATGTGTGCTTAAACAGGATTTTAATGGGGAAGTACAGAAAGACTTTTGGATGATAAGGAATACATTCATGTCAGTTGTTTGGTATTGCACAGCATCATATGCTGCCCTTGTCTACAGTTCCCAGTAAATCACTAATAAACCTTCATCATCTTTGACAGACTCTGGTCACAGTATAAAAGCCCTTGGACCAGTTAATCACTGTTTGTTCCTTTAGACGCCATCCTGCAGCAATGAAGTAGAATCAGGAGCGCAGCCAGGAGAGCTGTTTGCACAGGGTAGCTGTTGAATTTGTCAGATTAGCATATGGGTTCTTGACAGTCATCTGCCTGCAGCAGCTTCTAAAACTGCTGCCTATTCCTGGCAGAGGTGTCCAGTTAACTAGTAGATCCCCCATCCAACCCTCCTTTGCTGAAATCTGATTGGCACAAGGGGCAGAATGCCAGTGTTATGAAAGGATTGGGTATGCAGGATCTGTTTGACTGTTACAGAACATGAAGCCACAATAGCAGGTCTGCCTCACATTACTCCAGGCTTTTACACTTAACTATAACAAGATCTGCAAACTCCAGGTTACGAACATCTGTGATAGCTCAGTCACTGTCTGTCTTGATGAGTGCAGGTATGGGGTTTTGTTTTAAACTGTGACCTTTTTTCCTAAGCTGGAGAACAACACAATCCTAATGGATAAATTAAAGAAGGTTCAGCAAGAAAATGAAGAATTAAAAGCTCGGATGGACAAACACATGGAGCTTTCAAGGTGAAAAATATCTGTGGACTTTTAGATGTTGTGAACCAGGAGAAGGTGTTTCTGTGACCAAGAGAAAATTCTGTTTAATTAGTGACTGGGATTTTGTGGCCCTCTGTAGAACAACACATCCCTTTTCTTCCCCACTTGCATCTCTGCACATGTGCATTCCTATGTAGGAGAACAAGCAGGAACAGATCATAAGGGGTTAGGCTTGGTATGTTCTTCAGTGCCCCAAACCAGTATTTTGCGGAAGAAAAGTCTGCTCAAAATATAATCTTACCATGGATTGGCTCTTTAAGTATTACAGGCTTGTGAGCTAAACCTGATTTTATTTTTAACCATGTCAGTTGAGTGATGTGTCCCCAGTTTAGATCAGTGAAAAGACCGGTGTGTTTTATTTAGCAATAATAGGAATCTCTGACATGCATGAGTCCCAAGATCCATCGAGCTTCAACTACTGCTTAAATGAATAGGCAAACTCTTCCAGTTTGAAGGAAACTTCAGAAATGCAGCCTCTACGTAAAGCTGAGCCTGCAACAAGACCTGCAAGGCTTCAGGATGGCCATTTAAAAACCTTCTGTCCTTGCAAGTAGAACAAGTCTTACTTTTCAGATGCTTTTTCTGGCCTTTGAGGATGTTTCTTACTGGGATTTTCTCCTGCTTTCTGCAAGCTACTGGTTTAAATCCAGCAAGGATGAGAACAAGATAAATCCTCCTTCTAAGAAAGTAAAGTAGTTGTAAGCCAGCCAGGAGTCTATGCAGCTTCAAACATTTCTTTAGCAGTTAAGTTCAGTACTGCGACCTCCAACTTGGATTTCATGTTCTCATGCAAATCTTACCTTATGCTTGCAGGCAACTTTCTACGGAGCAAGCTGTTTTACAGGAGTCACTGGAGAAAGAATCAAAAGTGAACAAGCGCCTGTCCATGGAAAATGAAGAACTACTGTGGAAGTTGCACAATGGTGACCTATGCAGCCCAAGAAAACTGTCTCCCAGTTCTCCATCTGTGCCTCTTCAGTCCCCACGGAATTCTGGTAACTTCTCTAGTCCTACAGTATCACCGAGATGACATCTCTTGAGAGAAAGAGGGGATTGCATTTCATTTGTGATCTGCAGAACCAATCCTCACTTCAGTCACAAGAGCAAGAGCTACATTAGCCAAGTGTGGCAACTAAACATAACTGGAAGCTATTTGGTGCAAAAGTGGCGGTAAGAGACTGAGAATATGGGAATAAGACATTCATGTTGCTCTTCCCAAAAGACTTGTTTATGACCTCTATGGACATTGTTGCACAAAGCACTTACAGAGCAAGAAAAGACTTGTTCATTGCCTTTTCACCTAACTATAAGGAAAAGCTCAGGGGCGTAGAGATAAAGATCACCACCTTTATAATATGTTCCTATCACAGACACTTTTTTTAAGGTTGTGTGTATGCCTGTGTGCGTGCATGTGCTGTGTGCGGAATGGATGTAACACACTGTGCGTGTGTTTAATGCTGCCTTCTTTGCTGTGTATGTAATAAAGGATAAAAGCTGAAGACTATACATTGATGTGTACTTCCTTAACGCTGGTGTCAGGATGCGTGCTTTTAGCAGAGAGTACCCTCACCTGGGAATGAGGAGAAACTGCCACTAGTACTTAAGTTAGTTTCCTTTATCCTTCTGGCTTTTGCTCAGTAAGAAAAAGGCCTGAAAAGCTTTGTTAACTGACTCCTTAGTATCCTGGCTGACCTCAGGATGCAACTCTGAATTAATTTTAAAAACAGACTGAACTGCAGCATGGATTCTCAGTTTTACATCCATGCACAACTCTGCCATTTACACAGAGACGCTTTTTGCAGCATACAGTGAATTTTGGCTTACAGGCTCCAAGGCTATAGTCAGAACCATGGTAGCCCTCAAGGTGAAAAATCACCAGTCGAGTTGCAGGTTTAGAAAACTAGATCTCTCCTTGTACCTGCTGAAAAGGAATTGTGTATTTCCCCAAAACAGCATGTCCACTGCTGAGGCCATCTGCTGAGGATACACTAGATACAGATTTGAAAGCCAAAGAGAAAAATGCAATAATTGTCATTAGATGGATTCTTAAAATCAGTTCTCAAGAAGAATCTGAAGTAATTTGTGAGTTCCAATGTATCTGGTAACACACTTTGCCAAACCCTGAAGGATGTTAATATGATGCTAGTGCTTAAAAAGGCAAAGTTCACCTGCGGAGAAGGGGGAAGTGACAGCTGTTAATTTAGCTTGCTGATTCTGCCATAACTTCCCTTTTAGATTGGAGTATATCAGTGTGCTGCCAGTTCATGTGGCAAAAGATCCTATACAAGAGATTCTTTAGGGAAAAAAATTGTCCCGGCTGCTGGAACTGGAGGCCAAGAGCACCAGCACTTTCGGAAATGTCATGTGCTCAGCTTCAGCTTCAACAAGGTACTCATGTAGCCTTGCTCCACCCTTGGTCAGACCTGTTTAAGATGTCTACATTGTACCTACTAAACACAGGTTCAACTTCAAATTAGTATTACAAAACAGCATCTTACTCAAGCTTGCAGCAGCTTGAGGTTTACGGCACCACTTCCAGGACCAATGGTACACGACTGCTTAGTTAATGGTGTTAGCCAGCTTTGCTAGTAACTGCTCTGGTAAAGGATGTCTATCTGCTGAGTTTCCCTCTTTTTCAGTAGCTTGGGGGCATGAATGAAGGGCAGGGGGGAAGTGTTTAGGTAACTCAGCTGGAGAACCAGTTCAAACCGTTTTGACCAAGACTTGAAAATTCTTGGCTCGTAATGAGAAACACAAAGATATAAACAAGACTGTTGTTAGCAGTGCTCATACAGTAAGTAAAAACTTGTAATATACTTGTGATTGACTATTTAATCATTAAATTTACTTAATTTTCCATAATGTGCAAGCTAAGGGTGCCATTTCTATGGAATATTAATCTCTCTTTTAATCCTCTTTAAGGCACTGTACAATACCACTTGTTAGTGGTGTCAGTACTTACAATGTTTTCTAGGGGTTTCAAATTGAACTATGAAGATCCTCTGCGGGCTACAACTGGGCTGAAAGTGTATCTTGGAACATTCTTATTTTCTATGGTCAAAGAGATTTGATTACATGTATTTGAGCTGAATGCTTAAATAAATTTTTTTGTACCGACTGAAGGGTTTTTCTCCTGCTTCTGTTAATCACAGGATCTTTAAGTAAGGAGGAGGAACGTTCCTCCAAATACTACAGACTCTTAGTACCTGCTCAGCATAGCAGAACACCAATAGTGAAGCTTCACTGAACAAATTATTAATGTTCAGCTAACCCCTAGAAAAATATAACTACCCTTGCAACTCTATGTGGGCAGACGTTAGACAGAGCTTGCTCGTGATTATTAGCAACTCACTTTGAGCTGGGCTTTTAAAAAAGGACAGACAATGCCGGTAACATTACAGAATGAAGCAATAATAAAATACTTGAGTACAGTTGGCTTAATGTGCTTCTGCCTGTAAAGGCATCCTAGAGGACTCATGTTACTAAAATGCTCACCTTATGCAGGTTATGCGAGAGAAGCCAAATAGAGTTTAGCAGTCTACAGATCATGTCACAAGAACAGCTGTCTAGCCATATGTAAGAACTTTATTTTCTTGGTTGCAATGTTACTGCCTCAAAGGAAACATGCGAGGAGATTGCATATGAATGTTTGAAGACCAAATACAGTGTGTCCCTTCGTGTAACAGCAGAGGAAAGCTTATCTTACCTTCTAGTACAGAAAAGTGTGTCATAGTAAATAATACCAAGACTGGTAATTTGTTGATAGTTTTCCTCTGCAATACAGGAGCTTGTTCACTTCTAAACCTCTTGCAAGTAAAATCTTTAATGGTCTAACAAAGAAATGAGGAATCCTTTTCTATAGGAATCAGACTACAGAAATAGATGTGTATTCGTTGTTCTGTTGGTTCAGAAGAATTAAATAGTTATGTTCACCTGTAAGCACAGTTTCAGTATTTTTCCCTATTACTATGTCAAGCTTTAACTTAAATACTGTGTGTTAACAAAGGCTTTGTTCGATCCAGTAACTTGTACATGTTTTTTGTTCATTTCTTTTGCATAAAGTTTCCTTCAAGGAAAAGCTAGAAACCTGCTGCCATAAATATATGCTAAAGGTCTAGTGCTAGTCATGCACATAAGTGATTATCTTCAGGTACTATGCCTTAACTAGTAGTTTGCACTGTAATACTACATTTCAAAGGAAGTAAGTTACATTTATATCTGTACCAAATAATTTCTAGCCATTCAAACTATTTATAATATAGTTCACGTCTCTTCAGTACTTCTCTTTAAAGGCCTTTATATGAGTTTTGCAGTGAAATTTGAGGTGAATCATTTCCTTATGTTAACTGAAGACTTGAAGCTTCCCATTACAAACACCAAAGACACCTCCAGGAAATTCCCTCTAGACATTACTTCTAGTGAGTAACCACTGATCTTTCTTTAAAACTGTAGTTGCCTGACAGCCAGGACATCATTAAGGGCTGAGCTGGAGTTGAGGAGTAATCAGAAAGCTGGAATAATCATTGAACCCCTAAGAAACAAATACCTGTTGTCCATTTCTGCTACCTTACCATAGCAGAGCAGTGACCAAGGTAGGGATGTCAAAATAATAGTGGTGGGTATAGGCATGTGACTTTAACAAGTCACTTCCTTCAGTTCCCAGGCTTCATTCTCTTCCCCTGTGTCACTGTTCACTTATGTGGAAATGTGTAAATTGCATCAATGTAAAAAAGAATCAGGCCTGCCCAGGAGGCTTTTAGTAAAATGAGAACTATGTAAAATACAAAGTAAGCTAATTTTCATTGTTGACAATTACAGAAATCATTTTGATGTCTGCAGGCGGGAAACCAAACACCAAAAATTCTTCCTTAAAGGCACTGCTTCTGTAGCCATAATCAGTCTTGAGAACTGCTTATGATTGGTACATGTAACCATTTCACCCAAGGGTCACTACTCAAGCAATGATGCAACAATGGATCTGCATCAGCTTTTCCACTCCTGCTGAGCTGTCACCAAGGAAATGATGCTACCTTGTGATCCGCTGTGCTATAGAACCAGCCTGAGCGAGTGACACATCTCCCACTTGTTAGCTATTTTGAAGGAAATCGATTACTGATGTGATTGTATTGGAAGGTGTAGCTTACATGGATTCTGTGCTTGAGGCTAAGAAGAAAAAACATTGCCAAAACATCCAACAACATTTTACCAGGTTCTTACCTCTTCTGTGCAACGTCTCTTCCCTTGCACTGGTAACTAAACCCAGGATGAAGACAGCAGTTGCTTATTTATCCATATACATCAGTTTTTTGATAGGACACATCAGTTTTCTAAGTAAAGTAATACAATCAAGTTGCACTTGTTATTAACCTGAGAAAAGATTCTGCTGTATAATCAAACATTATTCTAATGCTATAGTTGTTGGTCGGTTTTGTTTTTTGGTGTTTTTTTTTGGTATATGATACTATATACACAAATGGAAGTTTTACCTTTAGCAAACACTCTGCTACATGATTTAGGAAGCTTAGGTGAACTCTCAGTAAGCTACATGGATGCAACAAGAGAAGAGAAATCCAACATAGCCAACGGTTTACAAGTCTGTGGAGGTGCCCTCCAGCACCTTAATATGTATTTAAGATTAATCTTCCTCAGGAATGAGAATTCTGTGTTTGTACGTACATGAAATGCAAACACACACACACATACACATATTTATGTTTTCATAATATTCAGAAATTTAATTACTTTTGCAAAATAAACATTTGCTATTGGCTAATTCTATAAAAAGAGGTGGTTTTTGTTTGGTTTTGATATTGTTTCAAACATGTACAGTACTCTCACCTCTAAAATTGCCCTGCACCAGGAGAGCTAGACCTGCTTGGTGAATTTCTGAGGATATTTCATACCCTCTCAGTTCTCACGTACACAAAAAAGGCACAAAGCATTCAGCAGGTTAACCTTAGGAAAGAGTTTGAAGAAAAAGGCCATATGCAAAAGGAAAGCCCAAGAGCACCTATTCCTAAATAAAGTAACCCTTATGCATGTTCAGGCTTAAACCTTAATGCTTCACAGTAGTATTATTAACTCACTACTGCTGGGCATAGGGAACTCTCTTTTAGCCTGTTGTCAGGCTACTGAATATGGAATGCATTGATAGTGCATGAAAAAAGACAGTGATAGAGAAAAATGTCACTTAAACATTACTAAAGAAAATAAATGGCTATAATATCAAATAACATACAGTTCATTCCATGTCCAGAAACCTCTCCGATCAATTTAGTTCAACTTTAGTAGCTACTGTTGTTTCTCCCTGTAGGTTCTGAGCTATACAAATGTAGTTTCCAGCATCTCTGGCTTCAAAACTCTCAACAAGAAGAATACTCTTTGAGATTCTTGTGGTATGTCCAATTCCTCTGTTTATCAATCTCCAGAAGTTTTGGATAATCACAGGCCTCTCAGACTGTTTAAAAGAAACAAGTAAAAATAACCAACCACATAAGAAAATACAT